AAACGCATTCCAAGTGTTCAGAAAAATATTAGGTGCCGACAGAATTCAAAATGGTGGAGAAGGAAATAGATGAGGAAATTTTGAATATCATTCGATTGAAGGCAGAATTGGAATTTAGAATTCTCCAATCAAGTGCCACCTAGGTAAAGTTTTCATATCATGTCTGCTTTCTATATCCTGATTCACTGTCTGTGATTCCAATATAATATGCTTTTGTGATATTGTGATATGCTGAAGCATATAACTTACTTTGAGAATTGATAGGACCTGATGCTTCAGCTAAGGCAGCTAATGTTGCTAAGACTGAGGTACTACTTTGATCTGTTTCCCCTGTTCCATTTACTTGTTCTAAATATAAAAATCATCCATAGTTACAAATATACAAACAAATCCACTAATGATACTTTATAGCACTTGGTTGAGCTAAAACAGAGAAGATGATACCCTCAAAATGGGTTTCAAATAAGCCAATTTATTTTTCAAAAACAATTCAATGTAATCAGTATTAGCATCAGTTTGCACCATTCCTATTTTCAATCAGACATCTTGGGTTCATGCAATTCCAATAAAACTAAGTCTTTGTCGATGTCAATAATTGTGAAGGGCATTATTTTGCTATTAGGGACATCATGGAACTTACTTTAAGTGAAATTCCAGGAACCACATACAAATTTTAGAAAGCCTTTACAATTCCTTGAATAATATCAATACTAACCTTCTAACTGTTCTGTTGTAGAAACTATTTCTGTAGCTTCTGATGTCTCTATAGTAACTATTTCATCAGGGTTTGATAGAGGTAATGGAAGGATGGACTAAAAGAACAAATTTCAATGTCTCACTGTATTGCAGCATAATAAATCAGAATTGAAACTTTAAATGCAATCTAAGTCCTAATCAAGGACAAATTGTGTAGTAGCAAAACCTAGAAACCTAAAGCAGAGCTATATGACATCCTCTTTCAGTTTCTCTATCCCACGACTTGTCACTATCATTGTTTGAAATAACATCATTAGAATGGGACTGTGATAGAAAACTAGCTAGATTACAATTGAAGTCAATAAATATCAGAAAAAAAATTAAACGAAATGGTAATTTAATTCTTATCAAATTGATTTGAATGTGCAATAAATAAAAGTTTTTCCACATGTTGGATGACACTTTTCTTACCTAATAAATCTAAACAAAAAATCCTACATACCTGACCATTGCGTAACATTTGAGCTATATCTAATCTACCATTAGCAATAGCTATGTCTAATGGTGTTCTATCAAACTGAAATAAAAAATCCGACAGCTGATTTTTAGGTTTATCACATTTTTTTTATCAGTTTATTACACGAACACATAATCTGAGTAAATTATTCTTTAAATTGTCATCATCTAAATGGTTGTGTGAAATGAGATATTCTGTAAAACAAAATCATACCTTATTCTCACAATTGACATCAGCATCATGACGTAACAATACTTCTATTATAGGTACATGACCTTTCTCAGTTGCCCAATGTAATGGTGTCATCTTTAACTAAAATAAACATTCATACTACTTGTGAATTCAAATTTATGATATAAGTGTATTAGTAATAAGGTTCATAAAATTCACAGCATCATAAACATCTGTATACACTATAAATTCAGCAACTGTCAAATAAAATTTCAATTTAGCCTACCATATCTTTAGCATCTATATCTGCAGCATTTGCAAGTAATAATTCCACAATACCAACATGACCCTCTTGAGCTGCTACATGTAATGGTGTTCTGTCTACTTTAGTTCTAGCATCACGACTGATGCCTGCTCTAAGAAGTACTTCAACTGTATGTTGATGGCCACATTGTGTGGCAAAATGTAGTGGAGACGTTCCAAGCTGAAAAAAGCATATTTCAATGATTATTTTTAAGATCAAGTTGAAATTCATTTTGAAATTTACACCTTTCAATGGTTTAATTCAAGTTGATATAAACACATTTTAATGTTTAAATTCCAGCTGAAATAAAAAAAAAATTTTCAATCATTTTACTTTCAGCTGAAATCATCACACATCAATGATTTAATTTAAGCTGAAATCCACACATTTCAATGATCAAATTTAAGCTGAAATCCACACATTCAATGATTTAATTCCAGTTGAAATCTTTAAGGATTAAAATTAAATTTAAGTGAGTTTGGTGAATATAACTCAATTTAAGATCATGGTGCAATCAGAAAGATAACAAAAGCAGTGGATTTATTAGTCTTATGTTTTTGCCATGCAGAACAGATCTACACACGCTAGCAAACATTCACATTTAAATTCATTAACTAACAATATCTCCTGTTTTGATTGAAGTATGGAAATAAAACATCCTTTGAGCATGAAAGATACCTTAATAGCTATTATTCAATATTCTTCTGCATATCAACATAAATGTTCAAACTTAGCAGGCTTACCCAATCTGTAGTAAATGGGGCTCCATTAGACATCAGAGCCCTTACTGAATCTGTGTCTCCCTTTTTAGCTGCATCTAACAGCTTCTTTCCCAAGTCTACCAAAGACATTTAATAGCTACAAGAAAAAAAGCTAGACATTGGAAAATATCATAACTATAGTGACATGATACCAGAGAACAACCATTGTTCTCAATTGTGTGTACAGGCATGCCACTGATTTTTTAGTTTTTGAAAAAAAAAAAGTTGAAAAGCATGTCTCTATACAAATACTATAACTGATAATAACATAATGAAGCTTGTTAAGTTGTGGATTGGAAGTAAAAAACCACTCATCTTGAGATTCAGATTACTAAAATGTATTAATCTTGCTAGAGGTTTCTGATGCTTAACCATCTGATTATAATCAGATTTAATACACCACAAAATAGCACGAATCAGTAAATTTCTAAAATGGCCAATGATGGGATCTGTTCAGACAATGAGTTTCATTAACTTTTAAAATGCCTGCTACTTCTGTCACTCAAATGTATGTCTATTATCAAAGATGAATTTGCCAAGATGAGATTTCAAATTGGAGGACATAGTCGTCAAATTATAGAAAAGGAATTAAGAGGTGTCATAAAATAAGGACCTGAGAGGGCCGTCCTCCGACATTGAATATCATGCTCCAGTGGTTTGAATTCCTCAGAATGATTTGACTTCCATGACCAACTGCCATGCTAATATTGAACCAATAATTCAAGGGTCACATGATACTATCAAAATGAAAGTAGGCCTAGCCACAGAACTGTTAACCGGGCTAATTTGCAAAGAGAATTATCTTTAACAAACTTAGTTTGGAGGTGTGAAAATTCCCCAAATCTACACCTGCTTAAAACTGTCAAAATAACTATCAACTGCTTGAATAGAGGCAGATTTTTCAGATTAAGCGGTAGCCTATCACTTCAACACTAGGACAAAGTTCCAAGTCGCCGAAGCAAAGAAAATGCTTAGCAAGGTATGGCTTAAGTGTCTAGGACATCTGGCTACAGTCGACTTCCAAGAATTTTTGTAGGGTATTATGATTTATTTTATAAAACGAAAGGATTCAAAAAGACAACAGTTCAATTAAAGTTTTATTGTCAAATTAATTCTGCATTTCTTGAACGAAGGAATCGGATATTCCGCCATATTTTGGACGGAAGTGGCAGAGTGACAAAACGGAAAGAGACTTTAGTAACTTCACTTCCGCTTTCTGAAGAAGAAAAGCCACGACCACTCAAAATTAGCAATAATACTTATCAATTTTCGAACCATATATTAAAAACAAACCCCTTTTTAAAGACGAATTTGGGAATAGTTAAACTTTTATTAGACTATTCTACAAGCCGGAAGTAAGAAAATGAATGCGATCTACCGGAAACGCCTGACGTAAACAAAGATATTCATACGCTCAGATGTAATACATCTGAACGATTCCATTAGAAATATTTGTTTTGTCAGCCTTTCCGATTGGGTTTACTCATGCAGAGAACATAGAAACCCCCATGCCCTCTTTCTTCATTGCAACATTGATTCCAGGGGACACAAGGAACTATTTTTTTTGTCTTAATCACCGGGCACCTGCACTTCACGCATTTTATCGCGAGATATCTCGATGGTTAGAGTCAATGGCTGAAATTATGTATTGTCAGTTTCAATAACGACCACACCCGAATGTCAAATAATGGGCGTCTTTCTGAAATACTTGTCAAAATAATTTAACGTATCGTATCACAGATCCTTCTGCAATCCATTATGTGATATTTTACATAAGTACGTGCTCTAAATGTGTTTTGTAAATGCTTCTTGTTTCAGGGGTCAATGCGTTTTGTGTAGGAAGTAGAAAAAATTCGTCTGCTACAAACCTAAAAATAGGACCAATCATTTATGGATTTCATAAATGGAGGGCTTGTGACCAATACAGGAATTAACCAACACAATAATTTTGTGTTTCAGGTCATTGAAGGTTATTTACTTATTAGCCCCAGCCTATTTTAGATTGTCTATTACAGGCCCTTGTCAAACATCAACACTGGCAAAATAGTCAATGTACAAAAACTAGACCTATTAATTATATTGTTTTATTAGAGTTGAATTGTATAAAGCCCTTCATGTCAAATAGTAACCATGTATGGACCTGACTTGAAGTTTACTGAACATTTTTAAAAGCAGGAAGCAATTTATTTTCTAAGAATATTTAGACCATATCAGAGTATTTATTAGTTGAATACTGCACATGTAAGTTGTCTCTGTTGTATTAACACCACCATATGATTATGGTTGCAAATAAAAGAAGCGGATATATTGAAATATTACTCAAGGGACTGTAAGTTTACTTAGATTTTAAGCTGTCATTTTATGCCAGAAATGACTGTGGTTTTTGAGAGCTCAACCTTCAATATTTTTCTTTCAGCATTACTCGACATGGTTATAGGAAGACAAGTTTTGTAAATACACATGGGCACCATGTAATGAGAGATCAGTAGCATTCTACGCATGCACAGAGTCCTTCTTTTTTTGCCTCCACATTGATAATTATTAATTAGTGATGTCATCTGAATATTCTCGAACGGTTGCTGTCACCTGTGAGAGATGTCAATCCAAAATGCAACTAATATCGGAAATGTTACTTTTAACTTGTGATCCAAGACCAGTCAACACTGAAGAAATGCTTCAGCTAGATGGATCTTATGTAGCATTCAAGAAGGAAGTATCACTTCGTTTGAAAGATCTGTCCAAAACCATACAATCAATAGCATCTCAAGTTCAAACAGTGTCTGTGGTATGGGCAGATATGTCAGTTGAAATTCAAAACTTATCTGATTGTGCCATCTTGATCATGGAATGTTGTTGTTCGGCAGCATATTTTATTGCTGTAAATTTTCAAGGTAGTGTGAAAGCTACTCCAGGGATCATTGATAAGTATCAGCTCAGTAGAGCAGGAATCGAGTTGAAACTGAGCTGTACACGACTGAAACGATCCAGATCAGAGGATATTACATCACAAGTTTTAGTTGACGTTTGTTCTTCCATATCCAAAGCTCTTTCTGTTATGACAGATTGCTGTAAAAATGCTAGTGAAAATGCCAAAGATTCAAGTGATCAAGACTTGTTCAAACTCAGTTTAAAGAGTGTGACATCTAGTGCTAGTTGTCTGTTAGCCAGTGTGAAAAGTTTCCAAAACAATTCCTCTCCTAATCATTTAAATAGAGTTATATCTTTTTGCGACCCTGTGATAACAGCTAGTCATGCATTAGTTGCTTTTGCAACTGAAGAAGAATTTTTTGGTATTCCTGCAGAACTTACCTCAGATGCAAGAGAATCTCAGAAATGTGTCTTAGGTAATGTATAGCAGTTTTCCTTTCATTTGATAATATTCATTTATATTTTCAACCGTTTAACATTTCCACCTGTGAATCCCCAATAGTGAATCATTCACTTGATGATTTTTATTAGGGATCCTTATTCTCTCAAAATTCCTTTTCACAGGTGTAAGCTGGTGATAACTCCCCTTGTATAAAAAATTGAGTAAAATGATTGTTATGTTTTTCAGGTGCTTGTATGAGTATTGTATCAGGCAGTATACAAATGAGTAAGTCAATTCGAGACCTTGCCTTTGATATGATTAACACCAAGCACAGAGAAAGAGTTGCTTTATGTACAGATTCCATTGAAAGATCTTCAGTCCAGTTATTAGATCTACTTGATAAATATGATTATTCTGAGAATAATTCCATAGCCTCTAATCATACTACCCCATCCACTCCGAGTCCATCTTCCACTATGCCTACCAGTTAATCCATCTCCAGTTATTCCTAGATCTTTTAAAATAATAAGTACTTGTATAGATTTATCTTCAAAATGTGTACTTGCATAGTTATTAATTTTAATATTTATGTGCTTTAAGTCAGACCAAATTCTTAGAATGTAGAATTTTAAGACCAAGTGATTTTGAGAAAGCATGGTCCTTTGCATATATGGGCATCAAAACCCACATTTTACTAAGATTGAAAGCATTTTGATATATTTTGATTATTTAAGTCTAACTGAACAATTTATGATTTTCAAATAAAGTAGCAATTTTTGTTTTTCAATGATCATTTGAAGTGTTAAAGATGGAAGATCACTTGGTCGACTTAAAATCCAAAAGGTCTGTGTAGTTTTTATGCTGTTTTTATCTAAGCCATAATTTTTTTAAATGCAATTCTATAGAATTGTTAAATGTTAGAGAAAATATGAAATCATATTGTATTGATAATAAATTTAAAACAAGGAAATGATCCATCAAACAAGATTAATATCTTCCTGCTTTTGTTTTAGTATATAGACACAGTGAATGTTTTCCTTTTGGTAGCAGTAGTATCTGTATGTTTAGAATAAGACAGCTTTAAAGGGGTATTGTGCTTTAATTTCAATGTGTAAAACTGGGCTTATTATGCAATGTGTGTCTTGGTGACAGAGAAACTATTTAAAACATCAAAGTTGAAGATTGTTGTATTGAAACATACATGACGTGATTAGAGGTGCGTTTGTGAAATAGTTGTTCTGAACAATTGGTGGTCCAATCAGAATTCATTTCTCATAAATAAATAGTGTTTGTGACTTAACCCTTGGATATTTTGAGTTAAACCTTTCACGAAAACTTAAGGGACATCTTCCTCTATATGTCTGCATGTAGTTTTATGCGCTCTAAACCACAAAAACCAATTGAAAAAAGCAGAATGCCCCTTTAATAACATCAAATTTGTATTACAATAATAAGATATTTTCACTGTTTAAATAGTGCTCAATACATTTGTAGAGTGATAAAGCAATATTAGAACAGAACTTGAATCATGTTGTTACTCATGAAACTCTTTAAGTAACAAAATGATATAAGTTCTATTTTAATTTTTAAGATTTATATTATGTATTATTGTAATACTACCTCTTAAGACTCAGTTGGTGTCATGGCAATCACATATGAGAGTTACATAAAACTTCAGTTAATATTCATAATAATAAAAAAAATAATGTCTTTAGGAGATCATGGATCTTCATCAGGCTAGACATACAAGTAGGATATAGATTTATCTAGATTGATGAATTATTTGAACCTTTTTTTAATGCCCATTAGATATCCTGCTTTAATTTATTTTTGCCCAATGAAATGTTTGTTGATATATTTTGTTGTCTATTTATTGTTATTTATTTATTATTTTATGTGAAAATTATTCAGGCTGTTGCCTTTTGGACATCTTAAAGTAAGAAAATTAAACACTTTATACACAGTGAAAGCATTGAATGTTTTGAATTGATCTTTAATTTTACAGAACTTATTATTTTGTTTATGAAAAACATTGGCTTACATAATAGTGGTTGGTATTAGATGATTGCCCAAAGCCCTTTGTTATTGAAGACATGGTCTTCATAATTGGTATCATCCAGCCTACTAAACCTCTATTTTGTTTAATTGTGTGTGCTGATCATGCTGATGTCAGATTTTAATTTAAAAAGCGCTACAGGTAGCAGAATTTTAAGTTTTATCAGCTGAAATATATAGATGCCTACGTGGGTGTTATAATCTTTTTAATGCTTTGTTGTTGATGCTGAAGGCAGAACATACCATTCCTTTGTTTTTTCATCAGTTGCATTATAATTATTTGTTTCTTATGGAGTAGACTAGAATCTGAAGAATTATATAATTTTAACATGTAAATAGCTAGTATATATGATAATGATAGTTAAGGCAGCCATACACTTAGCAATTATTGCCATTAATGATCAGTGTTAGTTAATTTCATGGTCGAAGAGGCAGGCATACTACTTCAGATAACAAGCTGGGCCTTGATTTTGCATATTAATTTTTTAGTGCTTATTTTCTAGTGATTTGACAGCGTTCATGTAAATTACAATAGTCAATTTAACTTTATTAATGTACAACAGGAACTTCACTTGTATATATATTTAAAATGAATTTTTATATAGAAAATAATGTTCTCATGTATTTATTATAAGATGGATACCTTTTACCTTTATATAAATAGGGCAGAGCTCGGGCTGTTAGTTTGAAATATTAGAAATCGTGTTAAAAATATCATTTTACTTGTGTTATGAATATGACCAATTTGGCTTTGATTACAATTTAAATGTGCTGTAAATCACAGACAGATATCATAATAAGTAACTGACTAAAATTATAGCCAAACCAACGGCCTTGAATAATACTATGACAGGGACATAATATTCATTTTGTTTTGTAACAACAATATTCTATCAATTATACAGAACAGTATAGACATCAAATAGTCACCTATAGGCAACGTTTTTAGTTTTAACCCTTTCAACATGTCATCACTCTGACACTCAAGGCATGTATAATAACAATGTATATCACATATTATCTAAGTGGCTGCTAGTGTTGAAAGGGTTAAGAAGGTAACAATTCTTTCAATGTCTGACATGTAGCTAGTAGAGATATAAAAGGGATTGTAAAGAGGTTTCCTGAAAATTGTATGTATATAAGGGACACTGATTTTCATAGATGTGCACCATTCCATTTTTCAATCAGATGTCTGAGGTTCTTGCGATTCCACTAAAACTACATGTTTTAGGACATCAATATCACAAGAGTTCCTTTATATCAATGGCAGCTTTTACAGTTGTTAGTTGTGTGACTAAAAAATTGGAATGTGAAAAGTGATGATATCAGTGTCCCCGATACACATAAAAAAAAGTTAGAAAAGCTCTTTTCAATCTGTTTTAGAAAGCTGCTGAAAATATTGTAGATTATTTTTTTTATCAAATTTTGCTGTAGAATTTAGATGATCCTTTTTATCTTTTATTATTTTATGATTCCTGGAAGGAGACTTCAATTGATGATTAGCTCATAAGTCATAATATTATCTAAGTGAATAGTCTGATCCTCGACAAGATTTGATAAACATTATTTAGATTAGTATGTTTTGGATCTTCATTTATCAGACATGTATGAAAAATATGATTACATTTAAGGAATGAATTGTTTTTGGCAGATTGATTGATTTTGTTTTTTTCTTTCATATATAAAAAGCATAATTCTAATTTATTTGTGATGATCAGGTTAAGCCAATACATAGATTCAAATTGTTTTATTGTGCGTGTATACACATAAATGAAAATGGCTGAATTTCATAGAGAGATGTGGGCGTATATTGTCGGCACCCCCCCTGTCCGTCCGTCAACAATTGCATGTAAACGCTATAAAAACTAGATTTTTTGATGGAATCAAATGAAATTTGGTATGTGTATACATATTCATAAAACGAAGATCAAGTTCGAATTTGAGCTATTTTCGACCGTTTAAAGCAGAGTTATTGCCCTTGTCCCAAAATCTTGAATACGCTATTACTCTCTTAGTTTTCAACCGATTTTGATTAAACTTAAAATGGATGTTATTGGACCTAAATAGAAAGGTTTGAGAAAGTTTAGTTTACTTCTGATTAAATTCAAGGATTTTTCAAGATTTAGGCCCCTTATGTCAGTTTTGAGGAGGTATCGCCCTTTAACCTCCATACCGTAAGTGCTTCTATCAACATCAATTGCTCGTAAACGCTCTAAAAACTAGATTTTTTGATGGAATCGATTGAAATTCGGTGTGTGTATTTATAAAACGAAGATCAAGTTCGAATTTGAGCTATTTTCGACAGTTAGAAGCAGAGTTATTGCCCTTGCCCCAAAATCTTGAATATGCTATTACTCTCTTAGTTTTCAACCAATTTTGATGAAACTTAAAATGGATGTTTCGTTTTTACCATCCGCATGCCGTGAAGGGCATGTATGACTGTCGTCCACTATCTTATATATGTCTGATAAGACAATTTTTCTCAAAAATCATAAATTAACCTATCAGAATAGATCTTGATTTAAACATCAGTAAATAATCTTCTATGTTACTTACTTTCTGATTAGCCAAAACTATTCTAGTCAAAGTTTTTATGATGTAGTTTATCTAAGTTAGATCTGAATTATTTTATATTTTTTAGTTGAGTTGATTATTATTATTATTATTAAACTATCATAATGTTTCCAGTATTAAATATTATTTAATCTTTTTATCGGTGTGTGTCCTTCATCTCCTTGTAGACATGACTGTCCTTAGTGGCTCAACCAAGTCTACTAGCCCTTACCTCTAAGGGGGCCCCACACCCAGAAAAATATAAAAATAAATTGTACCAAAGTATGTATCTTAAAGGTTATGTCTTTATTTTAAAAAGATTTCCCAGTGGGCCTCAACCCATTTAAGTCCAACAATAAAGACATTATGATATATTTTTCATTGTTCTGGGCTATTCTCCAAGGTTTTCTCCAGCAACTTTTTCAGCTAGGTATTCTGTCTGGAATGCCAAACAGAGGCCCGTTGTTCTAAAGAATGTGCATGTCAAAAACCTGCAGGCGGTAGGGAAACAGAGATCAGGCTTATATTATAGTTCTCACATTATATCAAAGCTCCTTTGACAAATATTGCATTAATTTTATTTTGTAAAGATCAAACCCCCTCAGAAATCAAACAGACATCCAGATCATTAAAAAATAATTAAGTACATTGCACACACTAGTAAAATAGTCAATAAATAAATAGAAATATATGAAATAATAACATTAAAGCATCATATATTTGCGATCACAAGCTATGAATCAAAAACTTCGATGTTGAGGTGTTCAAGGGGAATTTTGAATATCCAAATAGTTTATCATTATATAATACGATAATATTATAATCAGGGATTGTTTCTTATTTATCACAAATGCTAATACCCACAAATAGCATTATGTAAATATTTAAACATGTCACTTAGTTTATAGACACACATGTATGCGTCCAAAAGGCTGATAGTTAAGATAGGTTTTCAGTACTGGACTTTTTTATGCTCCCTTTTGATGTTTTTTTCTTCACCTAAAAAATATAATAAGAATAAAACTTTAGTAATTTTGAGGTTCAGAAATCTAAACCATTCTACAAAACAAACTAGAAGATCTGATGACATTTGAGATAGTTTACAACTCCCTTGAACCTTTGATTGTTGAAATATACATTTTAATTTATTGTAGACATAAAATTTTATTCAGAATAGTGATACTTAGATCTCAAATGATACCTCATCTGAAACTTGTGACAATACACCAAACATTGAGTCCAGAAGAACCACACCACACCACATAATTTCAAAATATTTTTACAGTTTGTCGTGCACAATTTTATTATTAAACATAGCATCTTATTGTCAATTCATTACAAATAACATATATAATTACTTTAATACTGTAAGCTTTTTCTGCTTCTCTTCTTTCTTGTTGTGTGACAGGTTGAAAATCTAAATATTCTAGTTTAGAGAGACTGCTTATTACTAGATACCTTTCAAAAATATTGAATAATTAGAATTTAGAATATCATGAGCATTTAAGGGATTGTAAAAAGGTTTCCAAGTATTTTATGTCACTAATAGCATTCTCTGCACCATTCTAATTTTCAATCAGACCTCTTTATGATGTCACTTTTGTAAAAGCTACTGAAATATTTAAAGACCTTTGCAATAGTCGTCATATAAGCTTAGATATCTGACTGAAAATTAGTCTGTAATCGATATTATCAGTGTCCCCAATACACAGAAAAAGTAAAGAAAACCTCTTTATAATCCCTTTATGTGTTTATATTCCCTTATCACTTTTAAACAAATCAAACTATCAATTTATTTGATTTATTTATTTCATTGGACTCATAAAATTGGTAATAACCGATGAAATTAGCCTGGAAACTTTCATTGTTTGAATTTGTAGACAGACCACATTTTCATTATGAAAACTGAAGTCATCATTTTTTTATGCACAATTAAAGATGTATGTTGCACAAACCTAAATTCTGTATATTGTTGTAATGTTCCACCATTGAAATAACTAGGTGCTGCTTCATTATTCATTAATGATAGATATCGTAAGTTGGGACAATTCTTTGATAATGTTTCTAGAAATATACCTAAATATACATCAGAAAATGATCGTAATTTAGGCTTTTTTTTCATAGTTGTCAAATAGGGTTCCACAAGAGGTGCATCTTCTCTCCTTTATAAAAGATAATTAACAACAAAAAACTACATCTGGAACATGCTTAAGCAGTTGCATGGAACCAATCCTGCATGTTGAATCAGCTTGAAGGCTGGAGACATTGTGTAAAAACATTCATTAGAACATCTCCATGGACTGAATTACAAAAAATACAACCAAATCAATTGAGTTCTAGGAAAAGGAAATTAAAAATGACTCTTACCTAGGTTTTTAACACTGTTATGATTTAACCATATTGTATGTAAACCAGGCATATATGGTATTTTAACATGAGAATGAATGGCATTGTGATCAACAACTAATGTGTTTAATTTAGGAAAATCTGCTAAAAACCTTAAATCTGTCATACAGCGTTAAGAAAAATTAAATTATGGGAAAGGAAATTGTTCAAAAATCATATTTCAAAGGAAAAATTTGGTAAAGCTGATCTGATTATTGTAATGCCTGCTTGAATCTAAGGTTTTTTTTGAAAGTTGTAGATTTAGGGTCTATCATTGGGTAAATATTTTTCAATGAAAAAGGATATGAAACTCTGTTGTTACTCATATCTAATTCTTCTATAATATTTCCATATTTTCTAGTTAATTCTACTGGAGGCCCAGCCAAGTTGGAATATGCCAGTGACCATCTTGCCCTAGCTCCTGATTTAGCTTCAGTAAGAGCCATACTGGTAATAGATTCATCAATTTACTGTTATCCAATAGCAACACATAAGCAATGGTTGATCTTCAATTATCCTGAAAAAGAATAAATCTTTATGATATTCACATATCTACTTATTATTATTACTTAAAGGATTTTTCCTATGTACATGGGTAAATTTTCTATGAAAATTTTGTTGTATAAGCTTACATGTATTATTATGATTATGATGATAAAGACCTACTTGAATGCATGTTGGTCAACCAGCTTCAGGCCTTGCAATAACATTAAATCTTTCCATGTTGAAAACTCTTTGTATCTTTATTAATGAAAACAAATTAACGACCAAGTTGCATGTGGTCTATAGATAAAAACTACATAGATTACGCATGGATGACTAAACTGACTAAAAAGTGAAAGTAGACTTGCAAGCTTTATAAAGATTAATAGAACAAAATAATATAGGGCTATTGGCATTGTCATGGTAATTTATTGTATCAGATAACATAAACACTAAAAAAACTAAAGTTAATCATGATTGTTATACCGTAGTATTTGTTACAACCATCTTAATGAAACAATCACAAAATCTGCTGTATTGACAGCTGCCATTTTGTTTCAGTCACATGACCCGGACGAGTATACTCGAGATTGAACGAGAAGAAACATGGCTGTCGAAATTGAGTCCACAGAGTAAGAACTTATAAATTGTACTTTTACATATATTTGCATGGATAAAATCTATTCTCATGATATTCAGTTTGAAGTGAATTATGTCTTTGATGAAATATCTAAAAATTAACAGATAATAAGGCGTGTAAATAGATGCACAATGAAAATATATCATGCACATGTCCGGCGAAAAGATAAACAAAGATCGAGTTAACTCCCTTTAAGCTTCAGCCTACATCGACTATTGTATCATTATTATAGGAAAATTTCATGACTTTATTTTCCTTTCAGTGTAGTTCGTCTGATTGAACAATACCTGAAAGAAAACAATTTATTGAAGACATTGTCTGTGTTACAGGTAAACTTAAACAGTATGTTGATTTGTTTACAAAAATAACATAACCTTATGATTCGCGTAGAGTGCTTCTTAAATGCTTATGAAGCCAGCTTTTGAATTGAATCAATTTATATTTAATTTTTGTTCAATCTTAATGCAAATTATTTAAAATGATAATGATCACTAAATGATGATGATATATTACAGGAAGAGAGTGGTATATCTTTAAATACAGTAGATTCTGTTGATGGTTTTATATCAGATATTAATAATGGACATTGGGATACAGTATTACAAGCTATACAGACATTGAAATTACCTGATAATAAACTCATAGATTTATATGAACAGGTGTGTATTTTCTTTAAGACAAGACCCAGTGAGTTATCAGTGTTTTGTATAACAGAAGGTAACTCAACAACACCGGTCCTACCCATTTGTATGACAGAAGGTAGCTCAACAACACTTGTCCTATCCAGTTCTTCAGGTGCTATACAGAAGTAATATTGTCACTGTTGGACATGGGTAGTTTGACTAGTGCTGACTTATCTTAAAACATAGATTAATAATGCTATAAAAAATTAAGGTATCCACATAGCTACATTCTCATCAAATATGAAAAAAATGATAATTACTCAGGATGATTTGTCAAAATTGAAAAAAAAAGTTTTACTGTCGAGAAGACAGCAATATTTATATGATTTTATTTTCTGTAATTTTTTGATTTAATTTGATGATCTTTGAAATTTGATGACTATAATTTACATGATGTATTTTTGCAGATTGTTTTAGAGTTGATAGAATTAAGAGAATTAGGGGCTGCCAGGTCCTTATTAAGACAAACAGATCCTATGTTAATGATGAAACACAATCAACCTGATAGATATATACATTTAGAAAATATGTTAGCTAGATCTTATTTTGATCCTAGAGAGGTGATGTTATTTTCTTGAATTCCTCTCACTCTTACTGGGATAAAGAATCCCATTGCTGTACTTTCTGTTTCAGATATGTTGCTCCTCATAAGTGATCACTGTGTAATGCTGATGAAAACTCTTAATTCTAGCAAATTGTTAACTAACTCCATCAACAGTACTCTTTCCCTGGAGATTATACCTGCATGCCTGTGCCAGGCTTTCGTAAAATTTGCTTTACCGCAATTCAACACCCTATAATTCCGAGCACATGTGTACTGCAATCTCATGGGAGCTTTTAGCACTAAGATTGGTTGGTAAATGATTACTAATCATATTACAGAGATTTTAGCTGTTTCATATACACGTTTGTCAAAAAATGCTACAAAATTGAACCTGTTGCTTACACAAATATTAAAAATATGAGTAGGAAGCTTAAGAACTGGGACTGCAGTAATTAATTTATGGTAGAATTTGGTATTGTTTTCTCAATCCCTTTCAAATAATTATTGGCTTGAAGTACAGTGATTAAGAAGAAATCAGACTTATTTTGAGCATAATGTTTTAATATAGGCTTACCCAGAAGGTCAAACGAAAGAAAAGCGTAGAACAGCTATATCACAAGCTTTAGCTGGTGAAGTTAATGTGGTACCACCATCTCGTATGTTAGCTCTATTAGGTCAATCATTAAAATGGCAACAACATCAAGGATTATTACCACCTGGTACCACTATTGATGTATTTCGTGGTAAAGCTGCTGTTAAGGAACAAGATGAAGAGAAGTACCCTACACAACTTAGTAAAACTATTAAGGTACCTATATAGTTTTGGCTTTACAATTGAGCTGGAATTTTAGAATTATCTGGTAAAAGAAATCAGGCGATCGATATACTTATGGAATCTTTTAGATCTTGGTTATGTCCAATCACAACTTATGAAAAATCCTCTAGCCCAATTTATTATAAATTTGCAGAAAAATACAGATAGAATTATATTGTTGAACATTCATCTCCTAATGACAATATGGCTAATTAACCTTTTGTAGTTACTCTTTTGGTTAAATCAAGATGCCCCACTTTGTTCTTTTTGTAGTTTGGTCAAAAAGCTCATGTTGAATGTGCTAGATTCTCTCCAGATGGACAATATCTAGTAACAGGGTCTGTTGATGGTTTTATTGAGGTGTGGAATTTTACTACTGGTAAAATCAGAAAAGATTTACGTTACCAGGCACAGGTTAGTCAACGTTTTATTTTAAAATAAGCTTCAAAGTCAGATCATTACCTCATACTTTTGATCTTATTTAATAACTAAGTTATTTCTGTAGATTTTGGAATTTAATATTTTACACCACAATATTGGAAAGAATACCAAGTTCAAGTTCACTCCTGGCGAAAATTGGAGTGACAATTCCATGGTTGAAAATAGAACTCTAAAAACTTTTGCAGTCACCAAGTTGATAGATTAAAATATAACCTCTAAGTTTCTATTATAATTCTTATTAGGATAATTTCATGATGATGGATGATGCTGTATTATGTATGAGTTTTAGTCGAGATTCAGAAATGTTAGCTACAGGTTCACAAGATGGTAAAATAAAGGTAACAATAGTCATAAATTAGTAATTATATCAAGTTAAAACTCAAGAAGTTAATTATCCGAGTCTACTGCCCCTTTCCTTAATTAATTGACTTTATCAGAGACCACACTTTTAATATATTTACCAAGATAGGGTTCCCCTGATTTATTAAAGAATAGTTATCTGCCTTTATACATGTGACACTGATCGCAATCAAAATTAATGAAAAGCTCAAATCTAGGTGATCTTTGATCAGTCACAATTTCCACTAAGAGCCTTAAATAGAATTCTTGCAACTACAGTTGTCCTCACAAAAATTAAAGACAAATTTTGGTATGCGTTTTTATTTTAATGTATTTATTGTAGGTATGGAAGATATTAACTGGTCAATGTTTGAGGAAGTTTGAAAAAGCTCACAGTAAAGGTGTTACATCATTATATTTTGCTAAAGATAACAGTCAATTACTCAGTGCTTCATTTGATCAGACCATCAGGTAAGAAATCTCACTATTATTCCTGGCATTCCATACATCATCAATAAATTGTCCCATTGTTCATCCATTCACATTCTCTAGAACCTACTGTTTCCCCCCAATTTTGATGACGGCTAGGCATGCAACATGTTAGTTTTCAATTGATGGATATCATTGCTTCATATGCATAGATCTATTGTTTGAAATTCCATCATGAATATAGAAATTTGTTTTAAAGTGGATGATATATTTTTATTTTGTTGCAGAATGAATGGTTTAAAGTCTGGTAAAACATTAAAAGAGTTTCGAGGTCATTCTTCGTTTGTTAATGATGCTGTATTTACACCAGATGGTCACCATATTATAAGGTAGGTTGGCAGATTTATATTGTTTCCTGATGCTCTTGACCATTTACATTACTGCAGTTATGACAAGATACAGACTGAGGCCACCTATTACAAGCTTATTTTTCTCTTTAAAAATCTAAGCAGACCAGTTGCTGTAACTGCTACTGATTTTCACTTGTTAAAGTCTTTGTCTAAAATTGCCAAATGTAAAAGGTGTACAAGGGTGACGCTTGATTGGAGAGTTTTGAACAGGTTCAGTCCGTTCCAATTCTGACCTCAATCGAACTGTAGAAAGCAGAAAATATGTCAAATACAAAATTTTCCCATCTATTTCCTTCAGTTTGAAATCTGTCTGCACTTACTATTTTCTCAGCAGACGTGGATGCATTCTGAACTCTTTTCCAACTTGTTTTATTGACGTCTCAATTGATTCCATGAATTTCGAACGTGCAGTAGTCAATCGAGAGACCCATAGATGACTATCTATGTCAAGAGAAAGGGAGAGGGAGAAGATTTATCTCCTCTGGTCAAATTTTTTAAGTTGTAAGTGTATTATGTAATCAGTATAGAACAATGAGATTAACATGTATTTTCAGTGCTAGTTCAGATGGTACTATTAAAGTATGGAATATCAAGTCTACTGAATGTCAGAGTACCTTTAAGTCATTGGGTGGTACAGCTGGTACCGATATAACGGTACATAGTATACATCCGTTACTCAGAAATGCTGAACAATTTGTAGTATGTAACAGATCTAATACTGTGGTTTTAATGAATATTCAGGGCCAGGTATGATTTGAATTATATCTTGTTTGCTCTTTTAAATTGACAGACTGCTGGATTGGCATTTTCGCCTTTCTTGGTGTTTGCCGTTCACCAGGTGCCACTAAGCTGCAGTCATGTATTGCTCCATATAGGATCGTGGGGATGTAGGCACTAAGCCCACTTTCAAGTAAAATCCATCAAACAGGGATAACTCTAGCTACTGGTGTGAAATGGAAATATGTCATATGTATATATTGTTGGAGAAAACATTCTTTCACTTGAAATGCTGTATAAATACTGTATCATCCCTGTATATGATGATTTCAGATTGTGAGAAGTTTCTCCAGTGGTAAACGTGAAGGTGGTGATTTTGTATGTGCTACAGTATCACCACGTGGTGAATGGATTTATTGTGTTGGTGAAGATATGGTTTTATATTGTTTTAGTATTACTACAGGCAAGCTAGAAAGAACATTAACTGTAAGTTTGATCCATTATATCAGTTTCCTTTTCAGAAAACTAGAACCGGTTTTATGGGGATTTTCCACTTCCTCAAAGATGTATTAACAAAAATATCCATTTTACCGAATATATCTATGTTTGGCGGGTCAGATCTAAATAGATAGAGTTAAAACTCCTGCACCTTTAGTGATGTGAAAATCCCCACAATACTGAAATTTGATATTCTGTAACTTATGGTCATCAAAGATTCCTTATAAATTAGAAAAGGCTTATGCCACGGGCATGCGTTCACTCATTAAATACTACATAGTATGGCCCCTCCGTTTTGGTCCAAACAGACACAGAAGAGTTTGAGATAACAATCCACTATAATATATATTTTTCAGGTCCATGATAAAGATGTCATTGGTATAGCTCATCATCCTCATCAAAATTTAATATCAACTTATTCAGAAGATGGTTTATTAAAATTATGGAAACCTTAAATCATTGATCATGTATTATATCATCGTTTACTTGTGTTATATCATTGTGTACATGTTTTATAGCATTGTGTACATTGACATTCTTTCTTCTTTTTGTACATCTGTGATAAATTCATATTAATTTCATCTGAGAGAGAGTAGTATAAAAATAAGAATACATATTTGTTCAATTCAACACCTGTAAAGATGACGTCTCACTAATCACAAAATATTCTATAGCTCATAAGGACCTTCACGATCATCAAACACTTGGTTTTAGTGAACTTGTTGGTGCAAATTGGTGGTATCAGTGTTCCTTATACCCATAAAAAAAAATTTGAAAACCTCTTTTCAGTCCCTTTAAGCAATGAATCTGTTGACAGTATTGGCACCACAGGGGAGATCGTTGGACATTCTGATATGAACTGTTTTCACAGTGGTTAAGATAGATTTGCTTAGCCCTTGACTTTAAACCTGTCTTAAACTTCGGTCAAATATTAATCTGAATTTTTTTTTGGACCTAGATTTCTGTGGACAACTGGCTGTGTCAATTTTCCAAAGTGGTTTGGTACAAATAGTAAACGTGACTAGGGCCTGTAGACTAGGGCCTGTATCGTGTTAATTACCACTTTAACGACCGAAGAGTAAAACAAATGGTTTATCTTTTTATAGTGAATAGTTTTGAATCTTTGAATTGCTACCAATCTTTTCATTAAGTAGATGTATATACAAGCGTAATCATGTAAAAAAAAGTATAATAAAATGGAAGTGTCAACTAGAAATTGTTATCACTATAACCTGAAACTTATGAATCTTATGGCATGACACAGTATCATAATAGCAGAATGGTGATAAGATCATAAATAGCCTACATATATTTCAACACAATCATCGTTTGTCGAGAGGTTATGAAATGGACGATGTACGGCACGAGTTCCAGACTGTATTGATAATTCCGAACCGGGCACTATACCTGCTTTAGTCGCGGTTTTGAATTTGAAATTGAAATTGAAATTGAGAGCAATCATAAAGATTCTTAAGAGTAGCTTCGACGCAGTAGGACGTAAAACTCTATTTTATTTAAGAGCGGACACGCGAACAGTCTTCGTCGGCTGTGGCCGTTTTCTACGTGCGGAGCATGCAATTGAAAGGTATGTGATTGGAGACAATAATCAAACTTGTGTGATATTAAAAATCATGTCGGAACGTGATAATCTTGTCGTGAAAGCACGGGCACACGCGAGATCTTACTCATGATTCGAAACGGCGACTAAAATCGTTCGTGTGCCCACACCTTGATAATAGAGCAATAGCCTTGACATATCGTGTCCTCACCATTTGGACTATCGTGTTTAGGCTTTGCTTTAATATTATTATGCAAACATGCACCAGAAACGCAACAAAAAACACTGTGCGACGAGTGTAACCAATTATCCAAATACCGCCGTTAATCTATCACAGTTCAGTATAAGCTGCTATTCGACCTTTATTTCAGCTTAAAGAATACCTGCAACAAAGACGCACGAATGAAATTTGACTGCTGTTCTTCCAAACGCACAACAGTAACAATGTACGTTATATTGTTTCTTACTGTTCCCTTTTCACCGACGTCCAGAATGGTATTGACGTTCAGCTCCGAGTTCGTTATTCTTACACATTATCACAAACTAAACGCTTTAATCGGTTTAAGGTACCAGAAGTCGATCCTCGGAGGACTGAGACCATCGACCCAGATCTCCTCTAGAAGGTTTAAGGTAGTGCTTGCAGGTTCCTGGCTTTTTCGCAAAAAAATGGAGCAGATCGACAAAGTATAATGTGTGGGGGAAAATGGTCCTACTGCAGCTCATTTGTATGGCTTAGTTTTAGAATTTAGGTTAATTACATTTTGTAGTGCTCCCCATCCAATCGAGTGAATAATATATGTTTAATAAGAAAACTACCAGGGCACAACACCTTTGTTTCAAAAGGGGGTTGAATAATAATTATACCCAATAAAGTTCAGATAATGAAGTTCTGCACTTCACGCACGCTGACATAGTAATAATACGAGGTACACTTTGTTTTAAATCTTGATTAATTGGTGAGTTTTAATCAGATAGTCTATTAATACTATTTGATATCACGTTTCATGACGACTTTTTACCGAGAGTATTGTTTTAAGGGAGTGACTTGAAATCAAGATACAAAACCTACCGTTTGATATAACAGAAGTCACATTTCAGAGGTTCTTTAAAAGAATATATTATTGTGTACTGAATACATGTACTATCTCCTAGAAAACGTTACATTCAAAGTCTCAAACTTATTCAACAAGTGTATATATTCATCAGCTCAACTTATCAGGTGCCATGACTAAAGAATAGAATCTCTATATAAAACGATATAATTCTTAATGTTTCAAAATTACTAAGTTTAATGAATTATTTAGTTTTATGGATTTGTTGGATTATAAATGGATTAGGGATTGTGTTGTATAGTTATGACACCAGATACGTCCACTGATGAACAACAGTTTCAAAATTTCAACATTTTGGTCATCTTAAGAAGTAGTATAAATTATTTCATGTTGTTGATGTCCACTAATACCAACGTAATGAGGTCCACGAGTTACCCTAAACCCTACTCGATGAACAGTAAGCTTGGTGAGTGAAAATTTATTTAGGTAGGTAGGTAGGTAGATGACAAGTTAACGTTCGCCTCCAGCGGATGCTGATATCGCAAACTAGGTAGTTGTTGGTAGTCGTAGTAGTTGGTAGTTGGATTGGTTCAAATCGGATGATTTTGTGTTGTTTGTTTTGGTTGTTGATTCTTCGTTAGATCTGGTCGGGTTGAATGACATGGCAGTGAAACTCGGCGCTGGATGGTGTGGCGTGAGTTACTCGATCTCCTTCATTCTTCCAAACTCGTTCTGATCATGGTATTTCTTGTTGAATGGTAGTCGTTGGTTTGGTTTGGTTAGATTATCTGTTATCTGTTGGAAAACTAGAAGACCTGAAAAAAAATGAAAAAAAAGGAAGTGAGATAAGGGGGAGGAAAAAAAATAAAAGGGGGGGGGGGAAGCTTTCAAAAAAAGGGACAAAGATGTTCTCTGATGTTTCTGCAATGAAACTTGTTAAATTTTGTAAACAGTATTTTATTCATAAATATTCGAAATATATACATTATGAAATGGATTGGGGAACAGGCTGGGCCTATATTACCTCTCTCAAACAATCGTTTATATGTAACTATAAATTATATGTAAAATTTGAAAAAGATGGAAACTTATAATACATACATATTTACATTATGTACAACTTGCTACACGGGATTTATGCTTGTAATGATAATAAATTTTCTTTTCAAAAAGGTGATATATTGAGAAAGAACTTTAGGTGGAAAGAATTTGCGCGAAAGTTCCAAGAAGATTTGGACTGTACGGAAAATATCAGTAGATAAATCAGGACAATCAGTGCCAAAAAGTAAAATAGAAGTTTTAATGAAAGACGACGGAAGGAGAGAAATAGAGCGGTTTCGTGCATCTAAATGTAGTGGGCAATAGCTCAAATAATGTTCTGAATCTTCAAATCGATGACCACAAATGCAAGCAGCATGTTCTGAAACATGACGAGAAAACTTATCTCCGTTTAAATCATTACAGGCGAGACAGAGTCGGCAGTGGATTATCTGATATTTCCTGGGGCCAAAATAATAATAGTTCGGAATGGTTATATTGGTAGATTTTAGAAATTTTTAAAAAGATTTTAATGATGTTGAGTTTTTGTACATACCAGATAAATTGTTCCATTCTCTGATTGCTGAAGGGATAAAAGTTATAAAATATGTTAGTTCTAGAATAATATTGTTCAAGAAGGTTATTGTTTCTAAGGTTATATAAGGTTTGTTTTGTTTCGATTAAGTTGCATAGATAGGTTGGAGTTAAATTGTTGATCATTTTATAAATCATATTGAGTTTGTGCCGTCTCCGCCTCTCCTGTATTGTAATGAAACCTGTTTCTTGATATAGTAATCGATGGCTTGTTCTCCTCACAGCTCCGCATATAGTGCGAAGTGCACCAAGTTGTAACCTTTCTAGCTTGTTTGTTAATTGTTTGTTAAATTGATTTGATATAATTAAAAAGTGTTAAGAAACTTTGAGTATAAAAACTTAGCCTACCTGTTCAAGACAGATTTGGTTATAAAATGGAAGACTAGTTCCATTATCGTATACCAGTGGTCCTCGGGTGGAGCCAAAACATTCTGTATGGTGAGTGGTATGCCGTTGGTTTCCAGGTACTCTAGCAGTGGCTTACTAGTGGGTTTCAGTTCAGTGCATTGAATGAGGACATGCGACCTTGTGGTAACGTAGCCACAGCGACCTTTAATGGCATTGAACTGATGGTCTCGTAGTACGTTGTTGGTCCGGAGTCTGGTTGCCACTTTGCAGATGGCTACAGATGGATGGTTTGGTTTGGTTTGGTTTGGTTTGGTATCTTCGGATCAATCTGGTATCTTGCGGTGTCGAGGTTCCGTCACATGTCGGCCATATTCATGAGATCTGAGGGCAATAACTCAAATTCCGAAATGAATTTCATTCAAATCAGATAATAACTGTTGTCTCTATTGCGTTCGCAGGCGAATTGTAGATGGATGGTCGGACGGACAGGCCCGGGGTGACGACAATATACGACAACATCATAATGTGGGCGTATAAAAAGCATCAACATTTGTTGGTGATAGAGGTGACAGTTTATGTCAGAATCTTATTAAATAATGTGTGTTTGTTTAAATCAACAATATCTTGCACAAATTAGATTTTTGGTATGATTTGACACAGATAGGTGAAAATGTCTCATTAGTCCTCCGACACATTAATCTGTAAACATAATTAAAATGACACCATACACAATTTGATCACAGTTTCTATTTTTACTGAAATATGTTTCCAGTAATCTCTGTCTTAAATCAAATTCTGTTACCGTTTCTTAAGGTTACTATTTTGCCCAAAGGCATGTGATATAAATTGTGTCAATTGCTCAAGTACATGTTAATGGTTTAATATTGAAAACTTAGATATACATAGACCCAAGCTTAGAGCTTTTTGATAAGAATGGCCTTAAATGTTTTTTTTTTTAAAAGAATGATCTCCCAGTGGGTAGGTGGGTGATTGAGTATATTGCAGATTGGTATATTTCCAATATCTACCTAATTTTCAGAGAAGACAATGACATACTATCATGTTGATCTTGATCCTTCCACTTGGGTAGACGTAGAGAATGGAATGATAGGCCTACATCGCTCTTTGACCGAGGCTTAAAGACTGTTCTTTCCCTGTGAAATGATTAAAGTGAGATGGATGTTGGCAAAGCACCAACAATGAACTGTTGGCGTGACTTTACTGAAGTTACTGTGACTTTCTAAAGCCGTTAACCTAGTACATTATCGTGTGCAACAGCTAGCAGATCGTGACACGATAATTTGTTCATGTCACACTAATTCTTTTACACGTTATCAAGGCTGTTTTCTTTGTTCAGAATGTAGAACTTCCCTTTAATAGTAAAAACAACTCTGGATTTGTTTCACAGACATACTTGAATTTGAAAATAATAATCTTCACAATATCTTGCCATGAAGAACTTTGATATCATTAGGCACTTTTGCTGTATCACGGAAAGCAGCGATTTGATTAGATTGTACGTTAGCGACCTCGACAGAAAGGTTTTAAGATTTATGGTTTACCAAGCCCACAGTACCAACACCAATTGATCAAGATCCAACTACCAATATCTACCTAGTCTTCATTATCAGTTAGTGATGGAATCAGTCGTTAATTACGAACCAACCCCGTTTACTTCCTTAAGGCCGGGGGATTAATTGGCTACAATCCATTTGCAAATTTCATGGATACAACAAAAGTGTCTCATAATGTCAAGGTATTAGACGCATTTCGTAATAGTTAGATATTGTGAAGATAAAAAATAATGCCTTTTATCATGAAAATGTAAAGAAATTTCACGAGTGTTCAAGATGTGTAAATATTTTTTCAATGTTTATAAACCCACCTGGAAATTAGACATTTCCTTTCCTGTCCGTTCGCGGGTCATCTATTGTTTCTGATGGATTCCATTAGTATTACAAAAACACTAGTTATTTATAGTTATTAGATTGACATTCAGATTAAACCAAACGACATACAATTATTTTATTTCAGTCAAAACTATAGATTACAGCAATGTGTTCTTTAAAGTACAAATTTGTGTAGATTCATGCCAGATTATCATTATCATACCCATTATAAACACAGAAAACTAAAGTGTCACTGTCATTACCTTTCAAGTACACTACCGAAGGATAAAATTGATAAGACATGTTAATATATCTTACACAATATACGGTTCAAAATACACTTAAATAACATTATATAACATAGATGTATGCAGTAGACTATAGGAGCAAGATCAGGAGCAAATCTAGAATTTGACAGAAGAGGGGGTCCCTCTCCGAATGCGCCTTCATTCTGGGTTATGGGGGGACGGGTGCAGCTGGAACAGATTTCAAATGGTCTGAGATGAATTTTGAGCATTTAAAGGGCTTAAAATGTGCATAACTACAAAAATATGTTAGAGAGGATGTTAGATCAGTTTTCTGAACTATGGTACTGTTTATTTAGTATGTACTTTAATATTTCATATATTTATAAACAAGTTCATGCAGTTCAAATTACTAATTCAGCATATTTAATGTTCACAATTAAAAGAACTACCCTAGTTCTACTCTAAGGAAACAAAAACATGACAAAAAGTATACACAATACAGCCCAGAAACTAAACATCCCAAAAATGTTAGCTAAGATTTTAACGCTGAAGTCTTTTCTTGTACTTAAGATCTATAAAAGAAGTCTGGGCTTTCTTCTCCAGTGAGGCCAGTTCTGACACTGTTGGTGCCAAAAATTGCACATGACCTTGGTATACACTACCTGAAAAATAATAGTTAAAGTTGTATTAGATGAAATAATTACATGGAAACATTTCATTTGTAGTGCTATAGGCCTTGTTTAAAATATAGTTATAACATGATTGATATGAAATGAAACCAAAATAAATTAATTTGGACATTTTGGGCTAATATATTAGAAATTATTTCATAATTGTATGTGTCTAAAATAAAATGATGCTCAAACAAATCAATTTTTTTTTTAACAACTTCGTCTGGGGATATCCCTTAAAGATTGGTTCCCTTATTTTCATTTATGAAAATGAAAATTCTTATACTTATATAAAGATAGCTTGCCAGACAAGGTAACATACGCCCACTACCAGCTGTCAGAAATGACAACAAAGTCTGTAGTGGTTTAATATGTGAAACTAATCATCTGATTGTTACTAATTTCAAGCTTTACTGAGATCTCATACCTAGTTTCATCAAGATCGTATAAAAAATGAGTCTCTATTGGGCCTACAAGCCAAAGTAGATGCATTGAATTAATTCAAGGGCAATAACTCCAAAACCATTCACCCTATTGTTACCCATTTCAACTTGACTGAGATCTTGTCCATATATACATGCAAGTTTCATCGAGATTAGGTGATCGTGCATACAAGCCCAATTTAACGTGATTTTACTAAGTCAAGGGCAATAACTCTGAAACCGTTCATCCGATTATTACCAATTTCGAATTTGACCGAGATTTCATCAATATATACATGCATACCAAGTTTCATCAAGATCAGATAAAAACTGTAGCCTATATCGTGCATACAACAATTGTGGACGGACGGACGGTAGAGATATTCTAATGACATGTCCATAATTAATTCATAATTAGCTGAATTAGAAGAGAATTATCAGCAGAATTCCAATGTGTGACGGATCAAAAAGTCTTTTTATGTTTATCCAGACTGTACATTACATACATGGACATTTATGATTGGTTAAAACTCTTAATTATTTACAATAAGAACATAATATGATTAAGAATACATGACAATTCATTAGAAACACCAATTAGTCAAATAGTTTGCTTAATTTGACACTATGAAAGTTAAGGAAACCTGTCTTCGAAGGTAAATTTTATCAAAATTAGAGTACATGTAAATCATCTGTCAAATTTGAATACATTTAGAGATAATAATATATTTACATCCACTTCGCCTGAAACTGATATACATGTACACAATTTGATATTTTGATATATATAATAAGAAAAATTTGGCCAATTTATTTGTCAAAATGAAGAAATATATTTTCCTAGAAGTCTACCAGTGATTGATATCCTATAATAACTTCACATCAAATAATAATACCCTATACCACACTATAAATAGTACTTATTTGAGTAAATGTTAAAATAAATATAAAAGCCATTGGAATGTGTAGAACTGTTCAGATAGGAGTGAAATATATTCCAGACATTGCTGTCAAGGTTGTGGAATTATTAGTTGATAATGTCCTTAATGATAACTTCACTCTTTCTAGATCTATGTCTTCTTGAAATAATAACAATAATTATGCAAACTTAGTATACCTAATGTTTGAAGTAGTACAGATCAATAATGATCATCCTATGGTGATGGTAAAAAACAGAGCTCATACAAATGTTGTTAGATTTTAACTGATAGAATTCAAATAGAACATAATTGTACCATGAAAATGAAATAAAAATAAAAATGAAAATGAAAATGAATGTAGTTTTGCATCCAATTGGACAATGAAGAGAAATATCTGAATCAGATTACAGATTCTGATGAAATATCAAAAATCTTAGTAAAAGTAGATAACGATTTTGATCCTTAAACTGTTTTTTATTGTTGTTGTCTCCATTGTAATCTAACAAGTTTTCTTACACTGTCCCTCTGTTTAACCAATCAAAGGATGTCATTTCTTGATAACAGTGATGAGTAAAGCAATTTTGTTTCTTAAACTTTTTTTTGGGGTCTCCATTTTAATCTACCAAGTTTTCTACCACTGTCCAGCTATTTTAACCAATAAAAGTTTGTCATGAAGAATCCATTTCTTGATAACAGTGAAGAATTGTGGGATAGTGTATTGCTTTTTTATGGATTTAGCTAACCGAGAAGTCTGAGAATGTTATCAAGAAACATGTTCAACATTACACACTTTGATTGGTTAAAAATTACATCATTAGCAAAAGACTATTGTGGAAAACTAGCTAGATTATAATGGACACGAAAAATATCAGAAAAAAAGGAACAAAATTGAAAACTAGTTTTAATTCCATATGAGAAGATACTTACCACCAGCTTTTCGTCTCTGACCGTAGGAAACTTTACCATCAAATTCATTAATAGGAATTTTCATATCGGGATCTATTCTATCAATAGTGATGTCTAGATGTTCTTCAATATCTTTCAATAACTGTTAAAAAAATCCTTGTTAACTAGAATTCAAAACTGGTTTTTCAACTCCATATTTATCATTAGACCATAGACATGTCTAATGTAGAAGGTATAAATGTAAACAAATCACATTCAATGATTTAGAAGCCTCTTTGAATCCTCATAAAAACATCTTAGAAAACAAAATTCAGTAAAAGTTCATATACAATGGCTTTCTAAAAGTACACACCAACAAAATTCAATGGCTGTTTCATCGATTAAAACTCTAACTACTAATTATTTTAGTATTGCTTTAAGCTAGTAAAAAGCGATTTGGTTAGGTCAAATCGAATAATCAAAATATAAGGTCATATGTACTTGAAAGCATCGTTACCATACATGAAAAACATCCTTGGAGACAGATACTGTACATAAATATAACAAATCTGGATTTTAAGCTCAAAGTCCAGTCCAGATATCACACACCAATCTTCTGTTTATAATGAAGTCGAATAGCTCATCAGAGACTTTCATTAATTTTAATCTATGACTTCCCACAACTGTTTATCACCAATTTCCAGGTTAAAATATTCAGCATTTTCAGAATAAACAACACTATTAAGCTTACCTGAGGTTCATTATACCAAATACAACAACCTCCTCTATCAGTTAGATTGGTATTATAACAACCTCTTCCTCTATTATTACAGTTAGAATGATACCACACCTAGATTAATAAAATACAACAACCTCTTTCTCTATTATTACAGTTAGAATGATACCACACCTAGAGTAATAAAATACAACAACCTCTTCCTCTACTATTACAGTTAGAATGATACCACACCTAGAATAATAAAATACAACAACCTCTTTCTCTATTATTACAGTTAGAATGATTCCACACCTAGAATAATATAATATATCCACCTCTTTCTCTCTTATTACAGTTAGAATGATACCACACCTAGAGTAATAAAATACAACAACCTCTTTCTCTACTATTACAGTTAGAATGATACCACACCTAGAATAATAAAATACAACAACTTCTTTCTCTATTATTACAGTTAGAATGATACCACACCTAGAATAATATAATATATCCACCTCTTTCTCTATTATGACAATTAGAATGAGACCACACCAAGAAAAATAAAATATAACAACCTCTCTCTCTATTATTACAAAGAGAATGATACCACACCTAGAATAATAAAATACAACAACCTCTTCTTCTATTATTACAGTTACAATGATACCACACCTAGAATAATATAATACAACAACCTCTTCCTCTATTATTACAGTTAGAATGATACCACACCTAGAATAATATAATATAACAACCTCTTTCTATCTTATTTCAGTTAGAATGATACCACACCTAGAATAATATAATATATCCACTTCTTTCTCTCTTATTACATTTAGAATGATACCACACCTAGAATAATAAAATACAACAACCTCTTCTTCTATTATTACAGTTACAATGATACCACACCTAGAATAATATAATACAACAACCTCTTCCTCTATTATTACAGTTAGAATGATACCACACCTAGAATAATAAAATACAACAACCTCTTCCTCTATTATTACAGTTAGAATGATACCACACCTAGAGTAATATAATATATCCACTTCTTTCTCTATTATTACAGTTACAATGATACCACACCTAGAATAATATAATACAACAACCTCTTCCTCTATTATTACAGTTAGAATGATACCACACCTAGAATAATAAAATACAACAACCTCTTTCTCTTTTATTACAGTTAGAATGATTTCTCTATTATTACAGTTAGAATGATACCACACCTAGAATAAAAAAAATGCAACAGTGGATGATAGGAAATTGGCTGATAAAGGAACTTACCTTTTCTTTGACCGAAGCAACTAAACTAATAGCTAATCCCATTCTGAAAAAGAGAATTTGATTTTTTAAAATTTTTACCACTTTGTTTTTGCTTAGATCATGTCCCTTTGGCAGAAAGTAATATTGCAGCTAAGGCTGATTTAGGGGCTAGTCAGTTGGTTTCATCCAAATCACATGAAAACTATGATTTTGTAGCATATTGTGAATGTGACATTAGAATTTCCTTAAAGCGATTTATTTTAAATCTCTTAGAGGTATTGATAACTAAACTAAAATTTAACTCCCACCATTTCTATGTCTTAGTTTATTTTCACCACAAGAAACATCCACTTAAATTCACCATAACTGGTTGAAAATTTAAACTTATGTTAGATAACATATTTAAAGCAATGGTAGATTGGATTCTATAAAACTTTCCTTTCTGAACTATTTCTCACCTCATTGCAAATAACACACGGAATGGTACCTTTATAGGGACAGATGAGCCATTTTGTGAGGGGAAGGGGGTTGATTTTAGTCTTGAATATATGTAAATAGTCTTCAGAAATACTAGAAATGTACGAAAAATCACATAATTCCTTAAAAAAAATATCTTAAACCATGAATTTCTTTTCCTAATTCTATGAATGTCTTTTCTATAATGGCAGTGTCTCAAGAAAAGACGACTCATCTTTTTAACTTTAAAACGTGTATAATTCTGAACACACATGGATTTGAAGGCTCAAATTTTGAGTGTGAGCTGTGATCACTATTACAAATTATTAATTTCCATTTCTGAGACTAAAGTATGATTGGCAAAAAAATGGCCTGTGTGTCCCTTTAAATACAATTTCTATGATTGACAAATAATTCATAATAAAGAAACAACTTTAGTTGAGATGTTTCTATCAACTGTCAAATTATTTTCTATAAAAAAAATAACCAATTTCTTAGAAATTCTCGAAGATTAATATACTCAATATATTGAGTCAATAATTTTAATAGAAAATGATAAACTGTCTTCCTGTCATGTATACAAAAAAATAATTTTATAATGGAACCTGATTTTTAACCTCTATCAAATTTTATAATAGAGACACATTAGCATTGAGTTAATAGAAAGGTCTTTATGTCCTGAAAATTATGATCTATGTGTCTATTTCCTATCCAGAAATTAAAAATTAGATTCTTGTCTTTTCTGTCTTATCATGCAATAGACTTTGGTATATTTAAAGCTAATATTCCTTTATTTTTAGATAGAGCCAATTTCTATGAGGATATGTGGGTTTTATGAATGTCACCTATGTGGTTGTTACCTTTGCAAATGTTTACTATGCAGATGATACCAGTCATTTACCTATGCGGGTGATACCAGTCATGTACCTATGCGGGTGATACCAGTCATGTACCTATGCGGGTGTTCCCTATGCAGATAATACTAGTCATGTACCTATGCGGGTGTTACCTGTGCAGATGATACCAGTCATGTGCCTATGTGGGTGTAACCAATGCAGATGATACTAGTCATATACCTATGCGTGTGGTACCTGTGCAGATGATACCAGTCATGTGCCTATGCAGATGATACCAGTCATGTGCCTATGCGGGTGTAACCAATGCAGATGATACTAGTCATGTACCTCTTACGGGTGTTACCTGTACAGATGATACCAGTCATGTGCCTATGCGGGTGTAACCAATGCAGATGATACTAATCATGTACCTATGCGGGTGATACCTATGTGGGTGTGTTTCCTGTGTTGGTGTTGAGTAAAAGAAATGTTGCCAAAATAATTGCAATAGGCTACACTTTTTTGAATTTGAATATTAAATATTTAAAGGGAATTGCTATAAAACTGTATAATAAAGAAACTAATTACCTCTCAGCACGTCCAACTCGACCAATTCTGTGGATATAATTCTGTTTTTCATCAGGAAGAGTTACATTGACAACTGAAAAGAAATGTTGATACAAGTTATAATAAAGGAGTTAGTAACACTCAGCCTTGGGCTAAGACTCAATTTGGTATCATAGAATTAGTGTAGAGATAAGTTTGATATATTCATACAAGTACTGTTAGCCAAGAAGATGTAAAGTTCTATTCAGATTTTTCGCTACTTTTGTTTGTCTGGAAGACAAGAAAAGTTCTCTTATTTCAGGATGTATAAATATCAATTGAACAGGTCTAAAGCACACATTGGCCTTAGTAGATGTTTTGATAGATGAATATTGTTTTTGTTTTAATGTTTCTGGCATGGTTTCGATAGACATCTGTTACTTTGTCTTAATGATTCAAGAATGATGATGGTAGACACGGATTAGAAATGGTTTTGATTTTATTTATTAGATGCATGTTGCTTATGTCTTATAGATTCAAAAATGCTTTATTAATAGAGGGAGGAACTGACATGGCATATGCTTCTAGTCGTAGGGATGGACATATATGTCTATTGCTTTTGCCTTAATGATTATGCAATGGTTTACATGCCTGTTGCTTTTGTCTTAATAAAATGATTTTTGAATTTTTTGTCTGTTAGAGGTTGGTTGGTTTTGTATAAATGATTCAGGAATGGCTTTGATGCATCATTCAGTTGTCTCAGCTAATACATCGACACCTACACAATATTATCATGTCAAGGTCTTACATTGACAGGAATATTAGTAGTAATAATGATGAGAAGGGTGTCTTATCACAATTCTAATTTTATTTTCAGTAGGTGTACTGTCAGCTACTTCTTACTAAAAATACATCTGTTGATATATCTTCTATTTATCAAAGTACACAGTCAAATTGAAATGATATATGTTTATCTCTGAAGGTCATTAGGCCAAATTTGATATAATTTTTTAAAATAATTCATTATAGTATATTATGTTACAACGTCATACCATTTTACCAAAAATAAACTTTGATCTTTTGGTTGTATAAGTGAGTGGGATGTACTCTAAACGATCAAAACGAGTTTGGAAGAATGAAGGAGATCGAGTAACTCAAGCCAAACCATCCAGGGCCAAGTTTTACCGCCATGTCATTCGACCCGACCAGATCTAACAAAGAATCAACAACCAAACCAACAACACAGAATCATCCGATTTGAACCAATCCAACTACCATGACTACCAACAACTACCTAGTTTGCATTAACTTGTCATCTACCTACCTTTAAACTAGTTTTACTCTTTGCATAGAGAGAAGAGAGTAATAAGAACTTTTATTTGTATTATCAATATGACAGAAATCACAATGTAGGTTCTAGAAATTAGCACATGTTTTCTAAATTCATATTAATTTCAAATATATCATGAAATAAAAATCTGTTCCAGCAAGACAATTCTGTTAATCAAAATCTCGTCCAAAGTATGGCAAAATCGAGAGTGAAAGTAGTGGACTCCTCCAAAGAGAAGTACCATTAGGTGTTTTGAAAAGAGTAAGCATGCTCTGCACACAACACATGCCAATACTATATAGGTCAACATCATGAGTTACAATCAGATCAATTGTATCTTTGACATTTTTGGACTAACTTTTACATTTCATTTTTCATTATTTCAGCAAGCTCCAGCAATATGGCTGGTTCTTTCACTTTGATGTTTATATAATGTAAAAAACCAGATGAAAATGATATAGCTTCATATAATACACTTTATTACAAACCAATCTAAAGCATTATAAGTATCAAATCCAGAATATTCTAAAGATGTCTAATATAATTCATCTAATGCATATTTTAAAGTGTTTTCTGTCTTTTAAGGGAAATCATTCAAAACAGTTTGTGATGATCACACTTATCTGGAAATTTGTATTCTCTTTTTTAACACTTAGCATCAAAAAAATATTGAATTTAAACATATTACTGTTTCAGTGACATACATCATGTTATCAAATAATAAATTAAGTATAAAAACCGTTAGATTCTATTACAGAATGATTTATTGACCCTTGGCACTTCCTGAAAAGTCATTATTCAGGAAAAAGATGTAGTTTTCACGCACAGTTCGTTTTAAGTTATTAAACATTGCATTAAGACTCTGTTGGGCACACAGTAATATATTGTGCATCAGCTTACAAATGTTCATTTATTCTGCTGTAGTTTTCTCATTTTTTACATGTTCATTTCAATTTCATCTATTTAACAACATTTAACTTTCATTTCAACTTCCAGTACACAGGAGAAAGTCATGTCGTTAAATGTAATCATAAAACAATCAAAACCTTACAGGACAAGCCATGGGGCCCAATTACTTACCCAATAACAGAGCCCTTTACATGGCGGGTAAAGTCCTCCAAAAAAATAGAAAATAAAAACTAAGTTTATTTTGTTTTTTTTTTACTAAGTTACTTTAATAGAACAAATGCCAACTTAATAATTCAATTATGATTACATTTGTTCATATTACCTATTAATGATAAGAACAAAATATTTATGATCTTATGTTATACAATTATGTTGGTAATAAATCAAACTTGTTTTGGGTGAGTTGCTGGTACTCTGGACACATTGGTTAATGTGTTATTGCCTTTCTTAGTAAAATAATCTTTGTCATCAGACAGTTCTACTTGACGTCTTTAATTACTGATTGCAAACTGGAAAGCTTTTATCTTAAATTCAAGTTGATTTATAAGGAAGTTGAATGTGATCTAAGTTTCAATGATACACTGTTCACATTTATAACACAATTCCATGTGTTCTACATTATTTCAGACAATAATAAGAATTATATGAGATATAAAAGCTTTCAACAGTAATAATCTGCTATTATCATAGAAAAAGAAAATGATAGACCAACTAACCCCTTCATCATTTTGTTGGTCAAAAGTAACCAGATCTGGGTAGCAATTTTGTGTCTAGTTTTTGAGAAGTTAAAATGACATAGCTATCATACAACAAATTTTATATTTTAGAGCAGGTTTTTCACTCTTGGGGTAATTACCTCCATGGGAGTAATACTGAATGAGGTTTAAATTTGTGGACAATTATAATTTGAATTATTCTATTCAGTCAAATATAATGTCTGAAATGTAAAAGAATTCAGGGAAAATCCAGAAATTACGAAATAGTAA